AGGAGGTCATTTTACACCGGGAAAGGAATGGAAATGAGTTCTACTGCCTGAAGACACCGTGATACCAGAAACAAGCGAAGTTGTATTGAATTACTCGGTAGAGGGCCAGACTACAGACGGATAAATAGTCACGTTGAACCTAGGATGCAGGACGAGGCTATTGGTCGAGGGATAGCAGTTGCATGGTCCCTTGTGCGTGCCGATGAAACTATTCCTGTGAGACCAATGAATGTCAGTCATTACCCTGTGTCATTGAAAAAGGACTCGGAGCCCCGAAGTTAAACAACGTGACCAAGAAGGACAGCTACCCTCTACCGCGTATTAGTGTCACTCTAGATCTCCTGGCTGAATCAAAAATGTTTTATCACCCTAGATCAGTGTATAATCAGTCGCACCATCAGTGATGGTACATTTTACACTCAACATAACTACATATTTGGGGGTTAGTGCAGATTTAACGTGTACACGACATTGTAATTTGTAATTCTGCACAAAAAAAATCTTGGACAGCACTTTTTATACGGACATTTGTTCTTACAAAATTCCATTTTCCACAAATAACACAACCAGTGACCACACAACATAACCGGTGTCTGGATAAGGTACTCTCTAGCCATCAAAGAGACTGGAATAGTTTCTCTTCACCTCTTCTTATAGGCTTACCGATCGTCGATTCATGAAAGCACAGGAGAGACCCCGGCTCGAATAGTTATGGGAAGAGAACTCCGTCTCCCATGCAGTCTAAGGTTTGGCTATCCACCAGGAACTGATATTGCCGGAGAAGTCTACGTAAGAGAGCTGCGTAGAAGAATGGATGCACCGTTTATAGCCAGGTGCGTGTTTCAATTCAAGGTGCCAGCAAAAGGATGAAGGAAGCTTATGATGTTAATGCCAAAGACCGGAGGTATGACAACGGTGATACGGTTTGGCTTTACGACCCAAAGACGCGAAAAGGGCTGTCGCCTAAGCTTCAATCATCGCGGGAAGGGCCATATAAAGCTCTGGAACCCATCAACAATGTTCTTTACAGGATTCAGAAGGCACCACGCGTTAAAGCCCGAATTGTACATTTCAATCGACTTGCCTCTTATCATGAAATGACATTTTACCAATTTATGGCTCACCATGCTAATGGCCATAAGAGTCGGTATTGCGTGACATGTGAAGTACAGCAAGATCTGTTTACCACTTCACCAGAGTATGCCATGGCCCAAGACTTGCGAATATTGAGTAGTATAGCGAAGGTCTTTCTCAGGAAGGTTGGAAGAGTGCACGAGCGGCGGCAATCTAACCCGGAAGTCGGAGAAGTGCTCCAGATAACTGAAGAGGGTACCAACCGAACGATTTTCTATCTAGTTACCAAGAAAGCTTCGTATCAGAAACCGAATTACGAGGATGTCTGGAACGGTTTGTGTTCTCTTAGAGAAGTGTTGCTTGCCGAGGACCTGAGGAAACTGGCAATACCTAAGCTGGCATGTGGACTGGACAACCTGGACTAGAGAATCATCCTAAGCATGCTTGAGGTAGTCTTCCGGTATACAGGAATTCTATTCCTGGTGTGTTGTCACAGTCCTAGACGGCTACATCCTGGAAAGAGTGGATTGTTACTCCTTCAAGAACTCCTACTGCAAGAAAGGGCAGTCGTGCCGATATCGACATCCACCACCAGTAAGATCATTGCGGGACGGAATGACTTTAGGGAGAGGCAGTCTAATAAGAATGAATAGTACAGTGGGCGCCATCTGTTGGGAGACTCCCCTACTCGCCAGAGCTTCATGGCCGATCTCGGTTTTTACTCTTGGTGACATGTGTTGAGGATCGTAACAGTGACTCACCTTCTAGATCGAGGCGAAGTGACCTCGACGATTCTGGAATGCCGCTATTTGGCTCACCGGAATCTTCTCGACCCATAGTGCATTTCTTTTTGTGGAATCCAGTGTTTTAATCCACACACAAAAGAACCAAGAAAAACGCTACAATATAATTCGTGTGAAATTATAGAATCAACAAACTATGAAATTTACCTAAAGAAAATTATTAAAAATAGTTAGACCCAGGAATCGGTACTCTGTAATCAACAAAGAGAAATTCAAATTACTGGTAAGCGATTAAAACAGTAAAACAAGGTGATACGTGATTTTTCCACGTGACACCATATTTCTTCTAAGACCTACGGAACGCTATAAGAACTGAAATCTCAAACTTGGATATTAATTCTAGCTCTGGATGTCCCTTGAGTGCCATATTTCACCGTTTGATAAAACTTAACCATTCCATTTTTAAAAGTTGCGCCAAGACATATTCAAGGCAATAATTCATCTTCGTTTCTCTTCTATCGTCCATAGTCGGCGTTAGAGGGTCAATAATATTATAACTGTTAACGTCAGCCTGTTTAACCTCCGTACATAAATCCAAATCCTGACAATCATGACTTCGTACCGGTTTTTTGCAGACGACCGTATTCCATCGTGCTCGTGCCTCTTTAATATATATTTTTTTCACTACTAGCCAGCGAGAAGTAGATTTCCGCTCCCTAGGTAGACGATGATAATAAAAACTACCCAGGTATGTCATTACCATTATGTCAGTTCAACTGAACTTTATATTTCGGCATGTTTGACAAGAATTCTAAAATAAGTACTGTTAAATATAGATTCTCTTGTAGCCTTTTGTATACCCCAATTGACAACATAATACCGGCACGACTATTATGCAAAAAACCTAAAGAACGTCAAAAAAAAAACGACGAGATGTCTTTCAGACTAGGTACTTTTTAGTGTGCAAATAGTTTATTCCACGTTTGCTTGCTATGATCGCTGTTCGCTGACGTCTACAACACGAAACAAGTTCACAGCAAGTGATAAGTTACCATTTTGCAGAAAAGCCTAAGAAATGTCAAAAACAAATATCACTTTTTAAGATACGACGTGCGGAAAACGCTTTTCAGTGTTAACAGAATGAAAACACAATAAACAAACATTTTACACCCTCCTCCCCTTCAAAATGCTCCATTCGAAATAGACTGCCATCTTCATTAATATCAATTTAACAACAAGCAACTAGATATTTCCCAGTATCTTTATAAAACAAGTTGGCTGATGCAGAACTAAATATTTTGTCGTATATAGTATTGTATTGAGGAACAGTTTGAAAAGTGACCCACGCGCTTCTGGTTATGAAACCTCCCGCCCAATAAAAGTATTTATAAATATTTATATAATAATATTAATTTTCCGAAGAGCTAAACTATCAACACCTGCGATCTATTGGGCCAATCCACTGGTGCCAAGTGCGAAAGGTTAAGTAAAAATCAAACTCACGGCTGCAGTGATACATGAACATCGGACTGTTTAAGCCGGTCAGCGCTATTCAAGAAGACGGAAAGGATGGGGGAAAACTGCGAAAGATTTGTATAAAGCCAATACTGTCGTTAATGAGGACGTGGCTCACGGAAATGTAGTGCGCGCAGAGCTTCCGAGCACATATATAATAATACATTTTAATCTAATTACCAAATGTACCTAGTGGTTTTCCCTCGCCACCATCTTATGACTTATCAATATTAACAAACAGGTATGCTTGCAGCTCGTCTGAACTGTCAAAACTGGAGTTGTTCACGTTTTACGTTTATGAAGAAAGAAAGGCAGAGGAAGAAAGACGTAGACGTGAGAAAGATACCACATACGCAAAGCTTGAAATGCATTTTTGACGCAATGGCTATAGTCTTTCCCGGCGCTCTTGGCTTCAGCCCATCCTGTTTTCAGTCTTCTTGGCGCTATCGAAAAACATTGTGGTGATTACCATGTGCTTTGCTCCCGGCTGGTATTTCGAAAATTAACCGTGTTTGTTACCGATCGTAAGCCGTCGTGGACTAGTCTCTCTTCTGATAACGTCAGAGGCTTGTAGTAGTAGTAGTAGGGAGGCAAAGCCTGGTAACTAGGCCATCTTTGACTCCTTTTGCCCATTCCGTAGCACCAATACTGTACTGAGATGTACCTACTGATAAGATCACATCCACGTGCATAACCAGACACGACTCAATATCCATGGCATGAAATTAACTTCCGAGGAGGAGATTCGAACCCGTGAACCCCGGCTTGCTCGCTCTACGAGCTAACTACCGAGCAAGCGAGGGTCTTCCGTTAGAGTCAAACTCACGACACCCCGTTCAGACAGAGTAAATTTTACGAAGGCAAGGACAACGGTAGTGTACCACGCTCCGTGATTACGTAGCGATACATTTTAGCATTCTGTATAGTGGAGATACCAACGCAACGCCACGTCGACGCGGATTTGCTCGCCGTTCTCCCAGTGGCATCTCAAAATCCAACAATTTGATGTATTATTCCCTGGTCGCAAAACTTTTTTCAGGTACCTGACTGGGATGTACCCATTATTTTTATAAATGCGGACGTATTTTCAGATACCCGGATGATGGCTGGTCTCCAGTGACGTCCTTTTTTAGGTGGAGGGGACTCCAGTTCTTGGACGATGGTACAGGATTTCTTATGTAATTCATCATTCATTTCATTTTCTTTTGAAAGAAAGCTTATTTGTTGGGAAATACAAATATTATACAAACAATCTCTGGACTACGGATATTATCAGCGGTGATGGATGACCGTGAATGTTACACAATTTAGTTCCAGTGGTGCTTCATAGAAAGCGGGGACTTTCATTTTAAGTATAGGATAAAATAAAATAAAACTTACCTGAACCAAAATCAGCAATATCAGAGAGGGTCCACTGAAATCCGATTTATCGTTCAGCTGCAGCCGCTGTTGAACGCGGTTCAGGAGCCCAATATATACGTAAATCCATTCAAGTTGGTGAAATCGGTCCTAGGGCTACAAAAGGGGATCATTCTGGATCATCTTTGGAGATCTTCGACAGGTGACAGAACAAATCATGCGGCTACAGAGATGATCCTATTCACAAGCAATCGCAAGGAATCATCTGCTACTGTTAGAACTTTAAATTGCCCGAATGTGCTCGTGTCATCAAAGTTTTACAATTTTGTTCGTTATCATCCTAATCGTATTTAAATGTTTGCTTTTGGCTTTTATCACATAGCATGCAGCCTCAACTTTCTTATCTTCAATCTTCATATGTATGTCCTTGGTATGCGGGAGGGATGTTCGTTCACTTGGGGTATAATGAGGAAAATTAGTCGCTACCTCCCACTTCTCCAAAATTTCGTCTCCAGTTATAAGCGTCACTTTACATCTCCTGTATCTATCGTTAATTTAATGTAGATCTATTTCGGTACGCGCATCGTTCCAAAGTAATTTCTCCCGTAGGTCGACTAAAACACAAAAGGGGTTGATTAGAACGATACCTTTCGCCATGCATTCGAACTAGATGGCTCCCTTGCGAATAACCTCAATTTAATTCACCGTCTTCAAGACATCCTCTGAAGCCATTAGTTTCATCTGTATATTTTGGAGTACCTGCTTCAACAGACGTCAGAAATGAGGCAACTCGAATAGGATGGCCTGAAATGGAGGCAGATCAAGGTTGCCCCGGCTTTTTATATAACATCTACCCCAAATACGAGTATAATAATGCTATTTATAGTCGGTTAAGCTGCCTACTGCAAATCTACCATTCAGCAAAGCGAATGCGAATGTTCGGATCACCTGACAAAAGTGCATCTGTAATAACTTTTCACGGGAATTACGCTTTCAACTACAAATCAATTGGTTGGTTGTCTGTTTTCTTTTAGACCAGAGCTGAAAGAGAGTATCAAAAAGTTCCAGGACTAGCTCTGTAACTTACCAACAGACAGCAGCTCGAGGCTGCGCCCACTATACTGGTGTAAAGCCTATTTCACGAGTATCCATCACATTTTGACGTCTGAGGTGAACAGCTGATCAGAAATGACATAGTTGTATTAGTTTGTAGTATTGGCAATAATGAATCGGGGATAAATTTAGTACAACTTGCTTGTAGCGTTTTTTCTGGTATGCAAATGAACTTTTTTAATAAATTTAACAAGTACAAAAAGAGTCTGGAGCGTACAAAAAAACAAAACAAAATACGGCTCTACCTACCTGGCGTTGACGGATCGGTCAGAATTCTGTCATATGCCGAAACCTTACGAACTTTGAAATGTTGCTAGGTAATCACCTGTTATTCTACCGTAGTAGATCCTTGTGAAAACTACATTTGGAAACATTGTAGAAGTACGTGCACGCACCCTCAGGGGGATGGGGGAGCGATTCACTCATGACATTGCGGTCGCGTCAAGAACGTTAATTTGTCCTTTTCTGAAAAAAGTGCACCTCCCAGATCTTCAATGGTTTTGAGAGCCAAAAAATATTCGTGCTGCCACGTGTGTTAGAAAGAGATAGAAGCACCTCGTTACCTAGCAACCCTAGTGACGAGGCCACGGACGCAGCTGCGGCTTTGCCGCGTTGCCATCAGCGCCCTCTTTCGATGATACATATTGCACCCTTCTCGCGCTTCTGTCTCGTACACGACGTCAGCCAAATTTGTACCGTATGTACCTTATTTGAGTAATATTAACGACATTCCCTAACTCAATAAAAACATAAAAGAAAGGAAGGTATCCCGTAATTTCTCATAGTGAATGGCATTTTGTGTATTTTTCCAATTGAACCATAAAAGTCTGTTGATATTCACATTTTTGAGGAAATTTTCGTTTATATCGTTATAACCTTAAGAGTTTTTTTTGTCTTTAAGGCCATAGGTCCCTTTTATTCAACAGCCTGTTTGAAGGAGTATCTTTGATTATTCTCGTCTGATACCTTCATGCTGTATAAAGAGATGATTGATAAGCAATATTAGCATTTTTTTCACAAAAAAATGCTTTTTTTCCATTTTTTTTTCTACAATCGTAGTTTGTGAACGAATAAGAGTGTAGCTCTAAAATTGGGTGACAATATTCCACATTTATAGAAGATTAACTTGAGAAAAAAAACTTTTGTCTTTTCCGAGTTTTCAAAAAGATACTTACTCAAGACCTATAAAAAGAGCAGTACAAACCATTGCTGAATAAAACAACTTCTTTGCTCACACGGTTTTCGAGCTATCATTGCTATTTGGTGTAAATGTTGAGAGAAACTCGCCTCCGGTTAGCCACGCCTACCGTGGCGGATGATTGGCCGTAATCCGAGGTGACTTGCGTATGTCTTCGCCGTGATGCCACGTTTCAGCATATTCATTCTGTTCGCTACTGTTAGAAGTGTATCGGTCGTGTACGATTTGTTGTTGTAAAGACGTTTGTTATACCTTTGTTGTTGTTAAAAAATGCCTAGAAGTCGTGCTGCATTATCAAAACGGCGTAAGCGCACGCGTGAAAGCAAATATCAAAAAAGGCTTTGTCAGCAAGGTAACTGTTTCTTTGAGATCCGTTGTATATAATTCAACAAATTCCGAGTATTGGCTGTAGTTGACTGTAATAGTTGGTTAGTTTTTTCAAGCTGGGCACAATGCCTCTTTCAAGCTTTTAAATTGAGTTAGTCGATGTATGCTAGGCCAAAAACCTGCGCTATTGTCACACAAACCATTGGATCAAATATTTTCCATAGAAGTTCCCATTTTCCCCAGTTTGGTTAAAAAAATTCATATTCATTTTTAGCTCGTCTCCAGCCTTGCCTTCGGATTTTGATTTCTACACCTTGCTTTTTTATCCAGGTTGTTGTCAAGATATGAAGTTGATGAACTATGTGCATAGCCTTTTTGTTGACAACAGCAATGAATTGTCGTTCAGCTCAAATCGTATAGGCAATGGAAGTACGATAAATAATACATACCTTCTCTGCATAACCCATCAAATATTATTCAAATATTATTTGCATTTCCATCAAGGTATGGGAACAATTTCTTGCGAACGATATGAAAGCTACTGGCAAAGAAGAGAAGTCAGTTGCAATTGAGAAAGGTTATGTTATTCCAGATGACACTCCACATATTGCTGTTATCGCTGATGGTGGATGGAGTAAGACGATCTACGGTCATGGGTATAATGCGTCTTCGGGACCATTTTTTGTATTGCTCTTCAATATATTTTTGGCCATCACATAAGTTTGTAAATGACTCCTGGGGCCCTGACTCTATTTACTAGAAAACAGAGTCAGGGCCTCAGGATTGGTTTATTACCTTATGTGATGCCCAATTATATATTAAAGAGCAAGATAAAAGATGGCCCCGCTTTCCAGTGCCGCTTTTGACCCTCCCCCACTTGCTGCATTTTTAACGTTTTCGATCACACACGATCTATCCGGTTTTTCAACTACTTTCTCTTGCAGCTCACAAAGCAACTTTTCAGATGAGGTTTTTCAGTTCGTAGGGCACTTTACAGACTGTATAATAAAAATATATCATACTTTCTCCAAATCGAGTAACGTCCAGGATTTTTTCGTGGTTATTTATCATATTCGAATGGCCCACTAAGCGCTTTCCCTTACCCGCACTTCGATCACAATTCGATCAAACACCAGAATTTCTCGAAAAAAAGGCAGTCGTCGCGGGTACCTGCCATAACTGATGAATGATACGTTCGCACACATTACCATAATTCGACCTTGAATGGAATGTCTATCATCAACCTTTATTAGGTAATCTCATCTGGTAAAAATTGCTCGAGATCACTGATCGTGCCTTGGCTCGTTGGAATGAGGAAGTTTCCCATTTTTCAAGACACTCAAAATGATAGTCTAAGTAAAATGAAATACAGCGCTGATTTTTTTTAATATCTTGAAAAATAACAAAGTTGCGCTTGTCAGAAGTTCATTATTTGGAGAATCATGTGGTGGGCCGTGCGAGTGAGTGATGATGTCACATGACAGAAGCTTATCAGCCCAGCACCAATGCAAGGAGATGCGCCCGCCGTGCCGCGCCACACACGCTACCTCCTATTATTAAAAATGAGCAAAAAGTGAGTCAAACCGTGAGCATGGCCAATGCAGTTTTTATGAGAGCACAATTCATGCAAAAAAGAACAAGGCGACTTAAAAAGAAACATACTGGGACATTATCCTTTAAAACCAGCGATGTTTGCTTATACTTTAGGCCCTTGGTCGTGCAGGAGATCAGCTTTCATTCTTTTTTTAAAATTGCGGAGGCTCAGATTCTTGAGATCTACTGGCAAGCTTTTATACAGTTTCGCAACATTCTATGAAAAGCTGCGCTTAAACAGAGCTGTTGAATGTTTAGGAATAACCAAAAGATGTTTATTGCGAGTTACTTTATTATCAGGCAGTCTGGTAAGTTTATTGTATAGATAAGTAGGTGTTTCACTAGTAACGATCTTGTGTACTGATGTGAGAAAATGAAGTTTTCTTATGTTAATCATGGTAAGCCAACCAGAATCCATAAGGCTCTCACCGATGTGGTCATACTTTCGGATACCATATGCAAACCTGATGCAAGAATTTTGAATTCGCTGAATGCGTAGAATATCTGTTTGCAAAAGGGCAGGTCCATATATGCAGTCACAGTAAGCCAGTTTAGACAAAATCAAAGCTTCACATAGTTTGACCTTCATGAATTTTGATAATATACTCCTGCTGGGATAAAGTTGTCTTAACACGTTATAGGAGACTTGGCACAAGTGAATAACATGTTTTGTACATCTTCCGTTCTCTTTTTAACTGCACATAACCAATCGTATCATCTCCATAGGTGTCCCTTCCAGACCTATAATGACAACAGCCAAATAACAATACCCAAAAATGAATGACAAATCATTGATTCTACTCATGGTTAACAAATGGACATCGTGAAATGTTACGAAAGAATTATTAAAATGCTATGAGTCAAAACCGGACGGCCGTCAAGTCCTATTGGCGTTGGATTAAATTTCAGTTCAGACAGTTTGTTTTCTGGGAACTGTGCGATATTGAATTTATTATTAATTTATCAAACGTATTCGCTGGAGTTTGGGTCATCCTATATTATTTGCTGCATGCAGATCATGTTTTCATTTTCTTCTATTTACAAAATTAATAAAGCCAAATAAGATCATCCATAATACCCCGCCACTGACGCCACGCGTCCTACGTAAAGTTGATGACTGAAAACACTTCTATAAGTCCACTGTATGGTATAGTCGCAAGCAAAGGGTTGAAAAAATGGGTTCACGGCTACAGCAGCCAACACAGAAAATGTCATAACTTCCTCAAATTTGAAGTTATTGTAATAATTCTTTCAGATTTGTCAAAGATACTAGTTATATTATCATACGCAAGTAACACAGGCAGTAT